CTGCTGTGGTGCCCGTGCTGGGCGCGCGGGCAGGTGCGGGAGACGCGATGGTGGGCCTGAGCCTCTAGCCGTGCTCAAGGCGGAGTCTGCGGGGTTCTGGCGGCTTGTGTCACGGCTGACGCTGTAACTATACCCAGAACCTCCGACCCTGGAGGGACGCTGAGGTCGAGCCTCAGCTGATCGGGCCTCTGAAATCCCCGCTGCGACGCCCGCCGGACTCCCTCCCCAACCCCGCCGCGGCTGCCGCAGTCCGCGTGCCACCCTTCCAGTCCACTCTTTATTTCCTTAGACCAACTTTAAACGGCTCTGGAGGAAGCACCGGGTTTCTTGCCTGTTTATTGTGAATCTTCTCCAGGTTTGCTCTAGAAAGGCCTGGGGTGGCCGCGTCCTGTCTTGCCCACTCCTCCTTCACTGGGGCAGTTCCAGGACGATCTTGCCTAGGTTTTTGTTGGCCTCCATGTACTTATGGGCCTCCTGGATTTCGGTCACTGGGTAGATTCTGTCCAGAACCGGCAGTAGACGTTGGGGGCCCTCCGTGGAGAAGTGAGGCAGAATTTGCTCCGTGAAAGCATTCACTAGCATTTGCTTGTACTAACACAAGGGAAAGGAGAGTATCAGCCTGGGAAGAGAGCCTCACCCCGCCCTCCTCATCCTCCTCATCCTCCTTGCTCTCTCTGAAACCACATATCTGAAAAAGCACACGGGGACACTTAACCCCTCACTTCCTAGCATGTGTGTGCAATACCCCTGAAGGAGTGATGTGCCATCTCAGAATATGTCTGATAGGTATATTGTTTATTTTGAGGTGAAAACATTGGAGAAATTGTAGTTTCAGAAAAGGATAGCTGACCTGTCTCTTCTTGCATGTAGCAAGTCATAAAGATTCCTGTGGGAGGGGCACCCTCCCCATACTAGGGCAAGAAAATAGCCTTTATCACCGGAGACTGGAAACAGGGCTACAGTGGAACTGAATAAATAAACTTAAGGAAGTAACCCTTATCTTCCACTACTTTTACGCCTCCCACCCCCATATATCTCCTAGTGACTTCCCTAGAAATTTACTATCCCTAGTCCGATTTTGCCTTATTTCTTCTCAAATTTATTGTTCTTTGTCTAAAAATTACAAAAGCATCTTACTTTGGCCAGATCACTTGAGCCTGGGAGTTTGAGATCAGCCTGGGCAACATGGTGAAACCGTCTCTATAAAAAATACAAGCCAGGCATGGTGGTATGCCTTTGTCTTGGCTACCTAGGAGGCTGATTGTGCCACTGGACTTCAGCCTGGGTGACAGAGTAAGACCCTGTCTCCATTAAAAAAAAAAAAAAAAGGACATGCTTTTCTCCTGTCAATCTGCTGTTATCAATTTGGTTTCTAGATCCAGCCGAAGAGACCACATAGGAGCTAAAGGGGGGTTACAGGTGATCTCTGGCTCCCCTGTACCTCCAAATGTGTAACTTCTGTTCTGTACCAGATAAAGACTGAAGCCTGAAGTAAAATGTTAGTATCACTGACAGCCTAAGAATTGTTTTTTTGTTTGTTTGTTTGTTTGTTTGTTTTCTCTTTTTTTGAGACGGAGTCTCGCTCTGTGGCCCAGGCTGGAGAGCAGTGGTGCGATCTCGGCTCTCGGCTCACTGCAAGCTCCGCTTCCCGGGTTCACGCCATTCTCCTGCCTCAGCCTCCCGAGTAGCTGGGACTACAGGC